CTCTCTCTCTATCTATCTATCTATCTATCTATCTATCTATCTGTCTAGCTTTCTCGCTCTCTCGCTCTCTCCTCTCTGTGTGCGTATATGTGAGCGTATGCTCACGCTGTGTGTATGTATGTATGTATATATGTGTTTCTACGTGTGTGTGTGTGTGTGCGTGTGTGTGTGTGTGTGTGTCTGTGTCTGTGTGTGTGTGTGTGTGTGTGTGTCTGTCTTTCTATTCAGGAGATAAAAAAGGGGCGGGGTGTCTATGGTGGGGTTCCAAGATGATACGTTTCAGTCGACCCTTTTCCTTTTATTTTTGCTTTCCGTTTGTGTGCGCCAATGTGCTATTGTGTGTGTGTGTGTGTGTGTGTGTGTGTGTGCGTGTGCGTGTGCGTCTGTGTGTGTGTTGTTGTTTTTGTTGTTGTTGTTTTTGTCTTTTGTCGGTCTTCATAACACTGAAAGGCCGCTTTTGTGTCAATGCTCATCTTTTTGCTCAAACAGACAATTTGGAATCATTGAATCGGGTGTTTTGTTCTGTATTTTCGGTGGGGGAAGGGGGGGGTATCTTTTTGGCTGTTTTCTACAATTTCTACCATGCATGGCTTGAACAAAAAAATATCAAAATGAACGCAATTAAGTGCATGCGGCATGAGATCATAAAATGATCGCTCGAAATGTTATACTCTAAGGCAAAAAAAGCTATAATTTACAAGATAGAGCTGTGCGACTCCATTTTTAATGGCTTGGGTTGAGCACCCGTAGGTACGGGTTTAATTTCTGGCTCGAAGCGATCCGTCGCTACGTATCGACGTTTTTTCAAGCCACTGCCCTAAAAGTAATCCCGATATCACGCCGTTGAAAGCCCCCAGAGGCTTTCCAGGTTTTAAGTAGAAAGACATTACGCGGAAAGTCAGATTAAACGCACGAGAAACAGATGGAATTGTTGTTTACTTGTTTGAAACCTTGCGTCCTGCCTGGTTATCGAATGGTTGGAAGGCGCCACTTGTAGGTCTTACGTCTTTTCTTCCGTTGTTTTCTTTTTTTTTTTTCTTCAGCATATTATTTTGCCTTATCCTTGCAGTAAACAGGCGTTATCATGTCTGTATGCTTCTATTTATTCAAATAAATAGCATTTAACGACATGATTTGAAAACCGTGGGTGCCGGTTTGATTAAATTTTTAGCTCGAAGCGACCCGCTTTGTTTAAAACAAACATACTTCCATGCTTGTAAGTGATTGTTGGGAGCGCTGGTGTGATTTGCTTCTTCTTTCTTATCAAACTTCTCTCATCTGTATTTTTTTTCCATTTTTTTCTTTTCTTTGTATGTTGCTCTCTAGTGACATCTCTATTCTTTGGCACTTTCACGACCTACTTGTGTTTCAAGTGCCGTAAAGCTCTTACTTACTAAAATTAAAGTTAGACTTCCCGGCTAGTGGTGTTTCTTTGAATTCTCATGATAAATAATAGGGAGAATTTATCAGCAGATTTTAAGTTGTTACTCACTTATTATAGCGTCACTGACGAGCCACGTGTATCTCCTATCGTCAAAACCACACCTGATTGTAAAATGTCTTTCGCCTCTCGCACCAACACAATTTGTCTATTTTAGGAGGCAGGCTTCTTAAGTCGACGTTTCATATCAGGGTCATCCATCCTGAGTGAAATACAGCTTCTGTGTAGAGAAAAATGAAGACTCGCAATGAAATTCGATTTCGCCCACATAGGAGTTGAACTCACGTCTCTTAATTGCAACAGCCAAGAGCCTAACGACTTTTAATACACAGGACCCAACCTTTTGATAGATTGATGGAGCCTACTATCCCCGTGATCAAAACGCCGAAAGCACGTAGTCTTAGGGCACAATTGACTTACACATTGAGACTTATGCCGGATCATGCTCTGGAAGGCGTACAAAGTGTAGGCGGTTTAAGGGCTCCACCGTTGGACTCTTTTCCTTATTGTCTGCCAGCCTTACTTTTTCTTTGCCCTGAACGGCCACTCTGGTATTGATTGGCGACTATTTACTTGACGAACCGTTCATTTTGCTGAAAGAAGTAACGGGTACTTATATATTATAATTATTTCATGTATTGGCTGAAATCTGTATCGCTCAATCTTTTTTATGTATATTATTGAGGAAGCACGTGCGTGTCTGGACTGCACTGTTGTATCGGTATAACCGTTTTTCTCCCCCTCTCTCTCTCTCTCTCTCTCTCTCTCTCTCTCTCTCTCTCTCTCTCCGTGTGCATGTGTGTGGGCTTCATTTTGTTTACCGCCACAAAAGCATAATGTCCTCTTATCAAAACCCGCATGCAAATTTCAGAAACTTTCCTTCCAGAAACGGTCCCTTAATGCAGTGTTGTTTTTTTCTCTGTTCACAGGGGCGCCTTTTCTGAAGTGGTGCTCGCCGAGAACAAACTCGAGAGGGGCAAATACAATGCAGTCAAGTGCATTAATCGACGCGGGCTCCGGGGGAAGGAGGAGGCCCTGGAGAATGAGATCTCTGTACTGCGCAGGTCAGTCTGTTTGTCCGCCTGTCTGTCTGTCTGTCTGTCTGTCTGTCTGTCTTCTTCATCTCTCGTATCCCCATCTCTCTCTCTCTCTCTCCCTCTCTCGCTCTCTCTCTCTCTCTCTCTCTTTATA